CATATTAAGACATTGAACAGGGCATGCATATAAAAATATCATGCCATAAATCATTCAAAAGCCAGTTACAGCGTGAAATTGGCTTTGAAAGATGGTTTTGTGCTTATCGTTGATTCCAATCCACTTTGTATAGACAGCATTTGTTGGAATCCCTTGAAAAAAGTCAACAAGAGGAAATCAGCATTAAATAAAACTTGCACTTGTCTCCTTTGAATTTGACATTTATTACCATGTATTTTCTGTTCTTAATTTTATTAGATTAGAAAGAATCCTAAAGAGATTTATGGCATTAAAGTTGGCATGGTCCATGATCCTTTGCTGAACAATGACCATGTTTAATGCTTTAGCAGTTATGAATCCTACCTGTTTGCTGAAGTTTTACTTTTATTTAAACACTGATGATAGAGCTTGTGATTTGCAGCATGTTACATCATGAAAAATAAACACATCTTGTGGAAGAAACCCACCGGGGTGTTTGTTTCAGAAATCCTATTTCAGTTGAGGGGCAACGTTTTTATGATTAGAGTCTTGGCTTAGTTTCTCTGCTGTGTGTAGGAAAGCCACAGGTTCAGTCACCACTCAGGAGATTAAGTACAAAATACTTACACTCTAAAGCACTCTGGGAATACTGCATTATCTTTCAGGTGAAACATTAGAGCAATGGACTGCCTGTCATCTCAGTGGTTGAAAATCCTAACCCTAACCCTATCCCATAGCAGTACTTAAAAAGAAGGGCAGGAATGTTACTACCAGTGTTCTTGCCAGTATTCAACATTCAAGCGATATCACTAAAACCTTGTATCTGGCCATTACCTTATTATTTTCATGATTATTTGGCTGGGTGTAACTTGACTGCCAAATTTCTTACATTACAAATGAGGCTATAATACAGAAGCACTTAATTGATTGTAAAAGGATGTATGAGATCAGGAGAGGAGCTTTTATTCAAGTTCCTTCCTGGGATACAAGAGTTACTGACAATGCCAGCATTTCCTGCCCTTTGCTAATTGTCCTTCTTAGACCAACAGCATTCTATCTGTTGCAGCGACACCAATAGAGCTGTTGGTAAGGGAGCTCCAGGTTTTGGATCTGACTGCAGTAGGTGTCAATACTTGAGCTGAGTTTCTAAACCACAACAGGAATGGAGGAGGTTGGTGGGTGCAGGTGTGCAAACTTATGCTGTTCCAGTTTCCTGGACCATTTCTCCAGGGACAGGATGAAAGGGCAACAGGTCTATTCACCATGCGCAGAAATTTTCCGTCAGCATCCAGGCCTCTAGAGGTTTAAGGGAACAGTGTAACTGCCTGTAGATGACCTCCTCATGGCAGACAAGGGACCCAACACTCCAGGTAGGCTTGAGGTTTTCTATTCCAGCCTGGGCTTTAACCACAGCCTCAGTTCAGTCTGTGGAGGGACTCACCCTCTCCACAGTGGTGTGCTGGTCGCTTTAAAAAAATTGAGAGGAGGCCCCTCTGTCTTGGCACATCCTCCTCCTCACTTAGTTGTAAATGAATCTGCAGCTTCTTCCAAACTGGAGAGCCTCCTTTTAATTCTCCAGCTTTGAGACCTCACCCAACATCCTTAACTGGACTGCTTGGTCATTAAGTTGGCCAATTCAGGGAAAATAACTGATCCCTAGACAATCTGGGCTTCTGATTACCGTTCAAGCTTCTCCTTGGGATTCTGAGAAAATTCTGGCCTTTACTCTACGTTATTTACACTTTTCAGGTAGAGGGACTGAAAGAATGGCAGAGAGCAAGCTGGAAAGAAAGAAAGAGAAACCAAACTAGTATATTTGAGGGGGCTAGAGCTTTTCTCTTTGGAGCGAAGAGGGATAAGAGGTGACTTAATAGAGGTGTACAAGATGATGAGGCATAAATAGAGTGGATACCCAGAGACTTTTATCACAGGGCAGAAATGAGTATTAGGAGGAGGCATAATTTTAAGGTGATTGGAGGAAGGTGTAGGGGAGATGTCAGAGGTAAGTTCTTTGCACAGATAGAGTGGTGGAATGCGCTGCCAGCGTTGGTAGTGGAGTCAGATACATTAGGGACATTTAAGCGACTCCTGGATAGGCACATGGATGAGAGCAAAATGTAACGTATGCATGGTAGTTTGATCTTAGAGTCGGGTAATAGGTCGGCACCACATTGTGGGCCAAAGGGCCTGCACTGTGCTGTACTGTTCTATATTCTATGTTCTATATTGCAAATTGGTACGCATCAGAAATTCCTAAAATGATTGACAGCTCATGATGGATTCTTTGAGAGAACCTGTTGCTCTATGGAACCATGTTGGCATTTACCACGATGTTCAGGAGATAGAGTGAAAGAGGTCGGAAAATACGTTGGAGTAAGAAGTATCTCAGACGCAAGCATCTGATTGTCCTGTTTATGTCTCGGTTGGCCATTATCAACATTTTTTTGACACTGTAGAAAGGTCAACAATGAACCTCAATCCTTTCAGGATCCTTTGACATCTGCTGGCTGCACTCACTTTTTTTTAAATAGTACTTTCAGAGAATTTTGAATAAATATGTAATTCAGCAACTCACACAATTATAGATTTAAGTGATGCTCAGATACCGACAATTAGCAGAACCATATTGGCCAGGCATCTTAAGTAGACAACAGTCCAGTCAAGAAATCAAAAAGATTAAATCTTTCAAAGTCTATAGTTTTTCTCACCCAAGCAACAGTATTGCTGAATATTAACTGTGGTCAATAAATCTGACTCATGGGAAGGTGAAGTGAGAATGCAATACATTTGAGGGCAATCCAGCAGGAGAAAGAGAACTCTAATTTTGTGCACAGCTCATTCATCCACAGTCAGGTCATGCTTTTGGTGTTGCAAAGTTACTTGTGAGAGTCACTTAGATGACAAAAACAGAAAGTGGAAAAGAATAAATGAGGCATATAGGAGGGGGGTGGGTAGTTTCTTCACAGTGAAGAATTCAGAGATTTTGGAAATGTGAAGCAGATTACTAAAATTCAACTTTTGACAGAAGTCATCCCATGAAGTCATAAGGTAACCTTCTTTCATTGTTTAATTTTCAACTGCATTATTTTCAATGTTAGAATGAAATCATATTTGTAGTTCATAACTTTAATGTTCTCTGCTCACTATTTCATCAAGGGCATTAACCTGTTTATTTCAAGTTGGCATGAAGAGAGCATACAGAGAGATCTCATAGCAATGCAAGGAGTTTGATGTAAATTTTACAACTTGATTTGACCGAACCCTTTGTCATGCACTAAATCCATTCTTTTTCCCTAATCCATGTTCTACCTTTTTACTCAACATTACTTGTTGAGGTTCATCATTAGCAAAAAAGCTCCTATTCTGAGAGAACAACAATGGGTGCGTGGCTCGGTAGCCAAATTATGAGTTGCATGGGATCGTTTAAGGCTTGTTGTGAGTAAATCAGAGCTGTGTTGCTTTGATAGGCGATGGTTATTTTTACTTTATCAACCATTAATATAAGCAGCAACATAAACCTTAATAATAAACAATTTACTGTTGGCATGCAGCATCATTTGAGCACAATCTACATGATCAGCCTGGAACTGGTCGTGCTCTACTCCTTTGTCAAATCAAAACAAAATGATTCTAATCGAAGCACTAGCCAGTGTAATACCAAATGTGAGTCATAGCCACCTTGCCCTCTACTCCTTTCAATCCCCAGCAATATACTCACCCACGACACCATGAGAGAGCGTGAGAAAGAGCAAGAGAAAAGAAAAAGCAAGAAATGAAAAGAAGGACAAGAGAAAGACAGAAGTAAAGTTGTGTATATTAAGAGTGATAAGCACTTACGATTCTATGTTACTGACTATAAATGTTAACCGATATATCGTTTCACTTGAGTAAGTTTTGTTTTGATAACAAGCCAGTACGAGACCTGGTTGATAGATCTTGTTATTTAAAACCTGTTAGATAAGATTGAATTGGTCATGGTGGTAACTGGAAAAATTCTTTTTTTAATTTATGTCATGACTGACAGAGTAAAGGGACTAGAGTGACAGCATGATCCTCCAATCTCAATCGTAATGTTGGTGGGGGAGGAGGGGAGCTGCTATGCACTGATGTGTCATGAGATCGTTTTTGGACTGTGTGAGTGGGGGGTGGGGGCTGTAGTGAGGGCTGGAAGGATGTTTCTTTTTTTTAATTTTTAGGTTTAAACATTCTATTGGCCAATCCCAAAGGATTGCTGACTCTACACCCAGTAACCTTCTCAAATCTTCCAGGGTTGTCCATTCTGACTTCTAACCTGGCCCACATCTCTAGACCAAATATCCAAAGTGCAGGTAGCCATTTTCAAAGGTCAGATACATGGAGCCCCAAATTCTCTCATCCTTATGCACCCCTACCTCAGTGTTTTCTACCAATAGTACACTCTGTCTTGTTCACTACATTTGAGCTATGGAACAGATGAAAACATGATCTTTTAAAAATTAACAATAACAATGAAGGGAGAAATTATCTGATGGAACATTTTGCATAAGTAAAGCCGCACTAAAGTGCAAGATTTCAAGCTCATCACCCTGCTGGTATATTTACCTCAGCTATAAGTGTATATGTTGAGGTCATCAACACTCAGCCTTAGTCAAATGAATTAAAAATAATGTATGATAAGAAGAATGAATTATGTGGGCCCTGACTTCAGCTAATTCTATGCATAACCATCTCACAGGATTATACAATGAACATTAGTCATGATGACAGATCAGAATCCCCAAGTACAACGGATATTCAATTATTTATTCAAAAGTACAGTTTTGAGTTATAAATTAAAGTCTACTACAGCTAAACAAAAATGACTACAGATGTAAGCCCAGTCACTGTCTGACCCAAGCCCTGTATGAGACCCATAGAATGTTATATCTGTATAGTGTAAGGGATACTTCAAAGAGACAGAGAAACATAACAGGGAAAGATAACAAAGGGATTGACTACCTCCTTCCTCTCAGCAGAAAGCTATCTCTGACAAAGTTTATGTTTTAGCCTTCCTGAAATATACAAAAAGTTTAAAAACCAATCACAACACTATTCTGTGCATGTGAGCAGACTGACGTACTAGCGTATGGACAAGTGTGCTATATGCTATAACTCTGACAACAGCTATTAAAATGCCTCAGTCCTCCGTGTAATGAAAATAACTCTCTCTCTCTTTCTTTCTCTTCCTCCCAGTGCTGCCAGTAAACCACTGACAAAAGGAATCAGACAAAGAGTTTCAATCAACCTAGAAGCCACGATTCTCAAAATTGGTTGTCCAAATGGCTATGCCAACGTTGCTTATAACCTCTCTGCAAAGATTGCAACATTGAAATATCCAATCTTCACTATTCAGATACAGATCCATTTTTTAAAAAATCTTTTATCTTTCTAGACTAAGCCCTTATTTCTAATTTGTGTCTATGTGTGTGCATTTCTGCTCACATTTAGAAATCAATATTCTCACTTTTTGTAGTTGAAGAAAGCCTGGTTAAATTGGCTCCTTTTAAAACTTAAGCAAATTTGGGTCTGGGAGGAAGATATCATTTTAAAACTAACCTTATTGTGACCAGCTAAAGAGAGTTTACTATCCCTCACATGGGAGCTCACAATTTAAGATTATAAAACCATAAGAGAAAAAAGGCCAATCAGTCCATCAAGTCTGCTATGTCATTCAATGAGATCATAGTTGATGATAATCCTCAACTCTGCCTTTTTGATCCCCTTGCTGATTAAAAATCCATCCATGTCAGCCTTAAGTATACAGAATGACCCAGCCTCTGTGGTAAAACATATCTATAGATTCACAACCCTCAGAAGAAATTCCTCCTCATCTCTGTGTTAAATCTGTGACCACTTACTCTGGGATTGCACCCTCTGGTCCTAGACTCTTCCACAAGGGGAAACAACCTTTCCACATCTACCCTGTCAAGACCTCTAAGAATCATAACTGTTTCAGCAAGGCTGCCTCTTATTCTTCCATATTACAACAAATACAAGCCCAGCCTATTCAAATAAAAAACAATGGAAAGAACTGTGGATGCTAAAAATCAGAAACAAAAAAAACAGAAAATGCTAGAAAATCTCAGCAGGCCTGGCAGCATCTGTGGAGACAAATTGGAGTTAACATTTCATCTCCACTGACCATTCTTCAGAATTCCCAATCTATTCAAACTCTCCTCATAAGATAGTCTCTCCATATCTGGTATCAACCTAGTGAACATTCTCTGGACTGCCTCCAATGCATATGTATTTTTTGACAGATAAGGGGCTCAAAACTGTTCAGCTGTGGTCTGAATAGTGCCTTGTATAATTTTAGCAACACCTTCCTATTTTTTATATTTCATTCCCTTTGGAACAGAGGCCAACATGCCATTTACCTTCCCCGTTATCTACTGAACATAGATGCTAGCATTTTGTTTTCCATGCATGTAGATTCCTCCATTTCATAGCTTTCCATAGTCTTTCTCCAATTAAATAATATTCAGCTCCTCTGTTCTTCCTGCCAAAATGCATAACCTCACATTTACCCACATTATATTCCATCTGCCAAGTTTTTGCTGATTCGCTTAACCTGTCTATATTTCTCTTCACACTCTGTGTCATCCTTACCACTTGTCTTCCACCTATTTTTGTGTCATATTGAGGAATCGCTTATAGAACCTTAATATGGGAAAGCTTATCCAGTGACTGGTCATAATACATAAATATTGGAACACTGGAACTCTGTCACGCAATAGCTGGATTTAGAACAGTTTCACTGAAAGACAATTGCAATCAATAGTCTAACAAACAGTTGACCTTTCTTTGAAATAGCCCAAATCTAGAAATGTTAATTATTCTTGTACATTTCTTCCCTCTCTTCAACACTTGTGTCCCTCATTCTACTGCGAAAGGTGCAGATGAACGCTGGTAGATGTAACGTTAGAACGTCATACAAAATGCAATTAAGGAGTCATTGGAAGGGCATACAATATGTAGTGAATGGATTCAGTTAATAAGTACACAAAGCAGTCATGCAAATTGTCTTGAGATAGTAGGAACTGCCGATGCTGGAGAATCTGAGATAACAAGGTGTAGAGCTGGATGAACACAGCAGGCCAAGCAGCATCAGAGGAGCAGGAAAGCTGACGTTTCGGGTCTGGACCCTTCTTCAGAAATGGGGGAGGGGAAGGGG